AGCTGAATAAATAAGCTCTCCATTGATGTATGGTTTGTTAGGATCGGACAATATTTGGTCGAGATACAACTATTAGAAAATCTGGAATCTGAGGGTGCCAAAAAATCTAAATACTGAGAAAATCATCTTTAAAGTTGTTCAAATGAAGTTCTTAGCAATGCATATTACTAATCAAAAATTAAGTTGATATTTACGGTAGGAAATGTACAAAATATCTTCATGGAACATGATCTTTACTTAATATCCTAATGATTTTTGGCATAAAAGAGAAATGTATAATTGTGACCCATACAATGTATTGTTGGCTATTGCTACAAATATCCCCCAGCGACTCAACACTGCTTTTGTGCTGCAGGGACACATATGTGTTCTGCTCATTCAAGAATGAGGGCAATTATGTGCAAACCCTGTAGTTCATTACAGATAGAATCCACACTGAATGCTCATCATTATTTAAAGGGGTCGTGACATGCCTTTATTTTAATGTTCCTTAAGGTTCACTTACAGTGTTAAAGCTTTGCCCACAAAAACCTCAATAACATCTAACATCACTGGATAGGGGAAAAGTATTGCACGCGAGTGCTCTGTAAACATCCTTAAATATACAAAGCATCCTGAAGCTTTACGATGCAGTCACGGTCAGATCCAAAACATCTGCTTCATCTCTCAACAGCAGTTTCTTTGTGAATGGATTACTAAACACTGGAGTAATCCTCGACAGGACCCGTGTCTCGACCCCTTTAACATCAGCTGTTCAGAAAACCAGTGTACTTCAGTTCAGAAGAACACGTTTGTTTTAAATCGTGGTTTATAAAACAGTCTGTTACTAAAAATTATGAGCAGCTGTGTAACTGCAGTACAAGTAAACTACATTACCCATGATGCCGGCTTCCCACAGTTCCATAGACTTACTCTTGAGTAGGTACATTTTTGAATAATAATTACTTCACAGCTGCAAAAAGAGTATGTTCTATATAGTATGGATGTAATCTGGAAGTACTACATTCACATGCCTACTCTTTTATGAGTACTGTGGATTCGGACATACTTCCTCTGTTTTTGGTCTACTATATAGTAGGGAAGTATGTTTCGGATGCAGCCATCATGCTTGTAGATATAGGGACCACACTGACTAGATGAGCACAATTTCAGACGTCAAGACATTAGGGACCTACTTTTCATCTTAACTTTATATGTACATTTCTAATTTTGTTCTACTCTTTTGTACTACTACAAATGATTACTAAAAACACTTACTGTTTGCACTGTACTTACTGTATAAAAGAGCATCTATTAGCTCTTTCAGTCCTTCCTTCCTGATTTCACTGAACAGTTTCAGAGATGAATAAAGCGCTCAGAAACAGCACTCTTCCGGACTGATGCTTGCTTCTGGCTGATTAGAAAGCCATCATCAAGTGCTGATTGTGTTTTAGTTTAGACATAAGAATCACAAAACGCACAATGCCACATTTAATGTTTATTTAAAATATTAAGCTACATGATAATATTCCATGTTATAATTACTATGTAGTATAAAACTCGTTTGATTTAAAAACAAAGGAGGAATGAATGGAGCAGCACAGAATGAAGGAGGCGTATAAAAGGTTTGGAGACAGAAAGCGAGAGAAGTGATGAACAGCCAAACCATCAGAAGGAGCGAGTGGTTCACAGAGTATCACGCCGTCTCCATCTGGCGCAGGACGATGGTTTTGGGGTTGATGGCCACGTTCTTGGTGGTGTTGTGTGTCTTATAGATGCCGATGAGACGGTCGGCCATCTCAAACATGTTGTTCCTCAGGGAGATGATGATGAACTGAGCGTTCTTGGTTTGCTCCTGCAATAATGTGGGAAAGTTCAACAGAAACATGTTAGAATTAGCATTGCACAGATTGCTTGTATAGCTGAACTTCTTCAAATCAGCAATGGCTTTAACAATCTGTCATCCTGTTACAAGTCACACTTCTCATTCATTTTTATATAATTTTGTACACTTCTTTCAGGATTGCACTGAATTCAGTTTTGTCTAGGTTTATGTAGGGATGACATTTAAGAAAAACTAGAGTTCATTAAAATTAAGCTCATTAAAAGGTGTAATTGTATATGTAAATAGATGTACAATGAAGATGTGAAATGTAAAAACGTTAAATGAGCACTGCAATGCTTCAGAACATAAGACGTGTGTGACTTAAGTGTCAATTTTGTGAAATTTAGATTTTTGCATCATCTGAAAGCTGAATAAATAATCTTCCCATTGATGTATGGTTTGTTAGGATAGGACAATATTTGGCTGAGATACAACTATTTGAAAATCTGGAATCTGAGGGTGCAAAAAAATCTAAATATTGAGAAAATCATCTTTAAAGTTGTTCAAATGAAGTTCTTAGCAATGCATATTACTAATCAAACATTAAGTTTTGATATATTTACGGTAGGAGATTTACTAAATATCTTCATGGAACATGATCTTTACTTAATATCCTAATGATTTTTGGCATAAAAGAGAAATGTATAATTGTGACCCATACAATGTATTGTTGGCTATTGCTACAAATATCCCCCAGCGAAATTTCATATGCCGGCGATATGAAATTTTTTTTACAGAACATATAACGCAGATAAAATGCTTGAAATGGTGTAATTACTTAGTTTGTCCAGCAGAGTGCGCTCCATTGTGTGCTACTGGCCACCTGGATGAAACGCTTTAAAGCTTAAGTCTATGGAAAACCATTGAAAATTTGAACGGCCATATCTCAAATTCGGTGGATCCCTTCAGCTCGAGGAACCCTCTCGAATGCGAATCGAGTGTATGTCTCGAGGCCCGCTTTCGAAAGAGACCACCCCCGCGTGGATAGCCCCCGGGGTTCGGGAGTTATGGGCGGTTAAATTCGCTGTCGGCGCCAACCGATAAATGATAAACATTTTTCGCTTTGCTAAGTTTTTTTTGCTCTATGTGCACTTGACGGTCACAACCATGTGTAAAGCACAATATCGTTCATGACTGATGCCTGACCTGGCAGTAAAGCTCAGTAGGTGGGAAATACAGGCTAAATGTCACACATCAGAAAACACTGGCAGAACTGCACTAAATACTATTAGATTCATACTGGTTGCCAGATTTATGTGAAACCTCAATCGTCCAAATCTCCCTTCACGTGGCTGGTAAGACATCGAATGCTGAGGAGCGGTTTTGTGTTCACTGTGAACGGTGCTGTGTGCTGGGCATTACGCCAGGCAGGTGTACGTGTACGTACGTATATGTAGCAGGCCACGATGGAGACGTTCTTGAAGTCAAGAGCAGCGTCGATCTCATCCATGAAGTAGAGTGGCGTGGGCTTGAAGTGATGCAGCGCAAACACCAGCGCCAGAGAGCTGAGCGTCTTCTCTCCTCCTGACAGGTTATAGATCTTCTTCCAGCTCTTCTTAGGAGGACGCACACTGGGAATGCACAGAAAACACCAAGCCGTCGAGATATCACTTACTAGAGGCTGGCTAGATTGAGACCTTGTGCTACCACTTACCAAAAACTCACAAAAACAAGACTCTTGTGCTTGAACTGCTTTAAAAAGTCTGGCAGCGTTTGATAGTCAGTCGTTTAGTTTTTCTCCTGAGAGTACTGATCTGCACACACACACACACACCTGAACATGATGCCCTCGGAGAAGGGATCCAGACTGTCCACCAGCTCCAGCTCGGCATCTCCTCCTAGCGTGAGCATCTGGTAGTTCTCCTTCAGCTTGTTGGTGATGATGTTGAATCCAGCCATGAACTCGTGCAGCCTCTGCTTGCGCAGGTCCTCGCAGCCTCTCTTGAAGGCGTCTCTCTGTGTGGTGATGTCATCGAGCTCCGCCACCCGCTGCAGATACAGCTCCTCCTGTGCACACACACACACACACACACAGACACAGACACAGACACAGACACAGACACAGACACAGACACAGACACACAGTCAGTGGGCTGATGCGTCATTCATTGGCTGACCACACCGAGTGGATCTCTGGTACCTTCTTCTTGAACTCCGCGATGGCTCCCAGGTTGGGCTTCATGTTGGAGCAGCGGTCCTCCAGCAGAGCGATCTCGTTCTTGATGACGTCTGGATTGCCGATGTCTTCCAGCTGCTCTGGGTTCAGTGCAGGCAGCTCTTCTTCTGGAGCTCCATCGATGGGGTGCAGCGACAGCCTGCTGGCCTAAAACACACAGGACTGTGAGCGCAGAGAGAAGACGAAAGCACACAGGCCAGTACGGCCTTCAATTCATTCAAACAAATAGAACAAAAACCATCCAGTAGGCGAGAAAAATCTAATATCTGTTAAAGCTCCTAGTAATTTTCTTTAGGACTGAATGAGTACACTTAATGACTGAGCTACATGATTATACATTATAGCGCACAATAAATGTGTCCCTGGAGCACAAAAGCAGTGTTAAGTCGCTGGGGGATATTTGTAGCAATAGCCAACGATACATTGTATGGGTCACAATTATACATTTCTCTTTTATGCCAAAAATCATTAGGATATTAAGTAAAGATCATGTTCCATGAAGATATTTTGTAAATCTCCTACCGTAAATATATCAAAACTTAATATTTGATTAGTAATATGCATTGCTAAGAACTTCATTTCGACAACTTTAAAGATGATTTTCTCAATATTTATATTTTCAATCACTGGGAATTTAGGCCTACAGTCAATATTGTCTGTTTCCAGATGTGTGTGTCTGTGGCTCAGTACCTCTCTCTCCCAGTGTTTGATCTTGTTGTGGCACTCAGTGATGGCAGTGTCGATGTGCTCCACCTTCAGCCGCACACTCAGAGACTCCTTCTGCAGCACATGCTCCTGCTCCTGTAGGGCCTTGATCTGCTGCAGCACTCCTCGCTGCTGCTCCTGAACCTCCGGCAGAGCTTCCTACACACACACACACACTCAGACATCAGCACCGAGCGTCTTCACGTGTTCAGCGTCTGAGAGAGAGGATGAGACAGAAGCACCTCAGCCTGCTGGTACGTCTGCATGATCTCTCCCGCCGCCTCCTCCAGCTTCTTCAGCTGCTCCGTCAGCTCCTCCATCAGCTTCTCATTCTCTCCCATCTCCTTCTCCAGCTGAGACACGCTGTCCTCAGACTTCTTCAGATTACTAACACATCAGAAGACCACACTCACTTCAGAAACGAACCGACTGGCCCTCTACGGAGCTCGGTTCCTGATGCATCCCACAGGATGAACAGATTCACACGAAGAGAGAACTTCAGTCAAATGTGCTCATGAAGTGCTTTAAAACACAACCTACTTGAGCGGGCTGAAATTAATGTCTTTGATCAGCTGTTTTATTGTAAAGAAATGGTTTGAGGTGAAACATGTCATTTCTGCTTTAAAACCGTGGTCATTTTTTGTTTGCGTTAGAATATAATGTTTATATTTTAACTTTTTTTTTTTTTTGCATTACATACAGTAGGCGATCAGCCAAAATGCCTTTAACTTGCTCAGCAGGCCTGGAACCATGACATTTTCCTTTGTAAATCGATGTGAGATAATAAACTACATTACTGGTAATGTGAACACTATATCACTAGAGTGCATGCAACAAGGCATTCAGTTCCTTTTAAGGGAACAAAAGCTAAACTTGTGTGTGTGACACATAGCAGCACATACAGTATAATATGTAGCGCTACTTTACAGCACTTTTCATTGGTCTCATATTTATCAGAAGGGTTTACACCCAAATTTTACATCCAGTTGGTGCAATTGTGAATCGGAGCTCTTTTTAGATGTGAAGTGTATTTTTTTTAAAATATATATCTTTTGACCAGTAGGTGGAAACTCATGCCCTCAGATCATGCTTGTTATAACACATACCATGTTTGGTCAGAATCCACTAAAGCATTGTGGAGATATAGCCTCGTGTCCATTTTTGCACAACCTTTGTC